ACCAGGGTGAGCACTCAACAATGCAATACACGAACAATCTCCGGCACAAGGCCCACCAATACAACGTGAAATACCACCACAACAACAATCAATCGCATAAAACCAACCAATACAACATGAAATCCAACAACAAACCACAATCAACCGCATCCTATCAAATCCTTTACCCAGATAAGCCATGGTCACGCACTCACCTCGATTTCGGATAGAAAAAGGAACAAGACGTCGCGAAGAACGCGAAGAACATGAAGAACACGGATCCCAACTCCGAAAAATCTCCTTCCTCCTTCGTGAATCATGGATCCACCACGATCCCACAGCTTCACCAATCCAAACACAAGCCTCAAAGATAGAGAAATGAAAGGGAAACAACACCAAACCCCCAATCTCTCTCTTAACTGACCTTTTCTTTCGTTTTTCTGCCCAAAAACCCTTTTTCCGACTTAAATAGCCAACCTGCCGACACTTGCGTCGATAGACGCAACGCACGGCATCGATCGACACTCCTGCCGACACCTGCGTCGATCGACACCAAGCGCCTGCGTCGATCGACGCAACACCCAGAACCCGACTTCTCGCAAGTCCAAACACGTGCATCGATCGACGCACAACCTCTGCGTCGATCGACGCACAACCCCTGCGTCGATCGACGCAACACCCAGAACCCGACTTCTCGCAAGTCCAAACACGTGCATCGATCGACGCACAACCTCTGCGTCGATCGACGCACAACCCCTGCGTCGATCGACGCAACACCAAAATCCACTTTTTGGTTCACGGGCGTTACAGGAACAGAGTGATCCGACGAATCTTCTCGGTGAGGTAATCGTGACGGAGCGGCAGTTCGTGGTGAGAGAGATTCGATCGCTTCTATGCAGAGACACGGCGGTGGTTTAAGGCGACGATAACGGTTCGGGATGGTTCGGCTCGTTTATTAAGCTTCAATCGCGATAGCAACACCATCGGAGATCGAGTATAGAGATTGGCGACGTGACTTTCGAAGAGATGATGATCGAGACTTGGTTCGCGACTTCCAACGAGGTAAACGAGTCTTGGTTCGCGACTTCCAATGAGGTAAACGAGTCTTGGTTTGCGAGGTCCATGAGATTTTTGATCGACATTTCATGGTGGAGAAGAGACAGCGTCCGCCGATGAGACGTGGTGTCATCGGGCTTCTCGGCGAGTCGACGGTGAAGAGAGAGAGCCGAGGTTCGCGTGTTGTCGTCTCACAACAAATCTGGGCAGTCTTCGAAAGAGGCGGAGGAGTTCATGTCGCGACGTGGAGAGAAAATCTGATCGACGTGGAGAGAAGTTCCGATCGACGAGGAGGGACATTGGGTCATCGGGTTTCTCGGCGAATCGACAGCGAGGTGGGGCGACGATGAGGCGAGGTGAGGCAGGGCGACGGTGAGACGAGGCGAGATCAGAGGAAGAAGATGGTGATTCAAGACCTGGCGAGTTGACTCACTGAGTGCTCTCGGGCGAGTTGACTCACTGACTCGTTCCGAGTTGACTCGGTCACTGAGTCAACTCGGTCTCAATTTTCTTTTTCGGCGACTCAGTTGCTCAGTGACTCAATGACTCGGTAACAAGGCAACCTTTCCGGAGCAAAACTGATTTCGATCGTTGTTCATTGGTGTAGCGAAGAGGCAAATTGAGTTACTTGTTTGTAGCTTTGGAATTACTTCGTTGAATTTGTCACCAGAGATGTCAGACAATGCGAGAAAACCGTCTGCTCGTGAGAGGAGAGCTGCCGAGGCTAGGACAGAGTCTAGCGCAAGAGTGTCTCAAGCATGGCTTTTCATTACATAACGGTATGACTTTGTGACGACTCATGTAGAATAACGATTTTCCATTTTCCTTTTTATGATCTTCTAACTTGTTTTTCGTGATCCGTCTCTTTGTTTGGTAGTTCTTTTTTTCGCTTAACAAGCTCGTCATTAACTACGAGGTGACTGCTCGTTCGAAAACTCGTCAGCTTGCTAATGTTCGGGAGGCTTATGATGATTTTAATAAATAAAAAGGAGTGCCGGAGACCGCATCACTGATCTCGAAGCCACCGTAATGGAGACCGAAGATAGGCATCGCGAGATGGATGGGATGTTTATAGAATTAGAAACCGAGAAGAAGCGCCTGAAGTAGGAAGTTGCAGACCTAACCAACCGCCTAGATGTTTCCGTCAAACTTCAAGATGTAACTATGTAGCGGGCTGTTGAAGAAACGAAGCACGAGTTAGCGGTGAAGTACGAGGCAAAGATCGATCGCGCTACAGAGAAGATCAAAATAATCAACGGCTACCTGAGGTTTGACATAATTGATGTTGTTGATGTCTGGAGTAACATTGAGTTCGTAAATTTTCTTCACCTGATCTTGGTGAAGAGCTTGTTGACCTTAAGAAGCAGAAGGCGGGCCTATCGCTTGCAGATAAGGTGTTTGCTAAGCATGTGAGCGAACTTGAAGTGATCCATAAGGATTCGCCTACTAGCGCGATAAATGATCGCGTTGAAGAATTGGATGCTAATGCCGTTGAGTCGGATTCTGACTCAGGTTCAAGCTCTTCTGATTCGTCAAGCGATGAGGATTTGTCAAACTTTGCGGTCGTGGTTCATCTTGAGGAAGCCGTTGAGATTATCGACGATGTTGAGTAGACCGCGTCTTAGTTTTTTGTTGTTTTAGTATTTTGCCGTACTTTTGATTTTAGACTTAGTATTTGATTCAGCCTGGCTGGTGTTTATTCCTTTGTTCAGATTTATCATTGTCTTTTGAGATGAAATTTATGAAAACAGCTTTCATTATTCTCGTTCTTGTCTTTCGGTGAACCTTTTTGTTGTTAAATCTTTAGCCCATGACGCTGATGCGCTGATGAGCCTGACCGGTTACTTGACAAGCCGATGACTTGTTTATATTTACTGACTTTGATGCAAATGTGGTTTACCGGCGAGTCGTCATCGACAAGCATTCTCCAACTACGTTATCATTTTAAGACTACTAATTCGGGCCAGACAATGTTTGTCATGGTTTTAAGGCAGGCTGTCGTTGATTGGTTCATTTCCAAAGATCGACTATATTGTTGTTGGGACCAGCGATAAGTTAGCTGGATTTTATGATGATCATTTCAGTTTATGGGGAATCTGCGTCGATGCACCCGCTCTGAGAACAACCGCGTTATCGCGTAATGACCAACGATTAAGTTGATGGATTTTCTGATGAACTTCTTGGTTTACGGGCGAGCCTTCGTCGACGCGCCCACTCTACGAATAAAAACGTTATTCCATAATTATCAATGATTAAGTTGTTAGATTTTCTAATGAACTTCTTGGTTTACGGGCGAGCCTTCGTCGAGGCGCCCACTCCACGAATGAACACGTTATTGCATAATGACAACGATTAGGTTGTTGGATTTTTAGATGATCATCTTGGTTTACGGGCAAATCTACGTTGACATGCCCGCTCCGCGAACGAACACGTTATTGTTTAACGATCAACGATTAAGTTATTGGGTTTTCTGATGATCATTTTGGTTTACGACCATGTATTACATCGACATGGCTGCTCGTACAAAGAACAAGTTATTGTGTAAAGACCAACGATTAAGTTGTTGGGTTTCCTGATGATCATTTCGGTTTACGACCATGTACTACATTGACACGGCCGCTCCTATAATGAATACGTTATCGCGTAGAGACCAACAATTTGTTTGTTGGATTTTTAAATGAACATTTCGGTTTACGAGCGTGTAATACAACGACACGGCTGCTCCTAAAATGAACATTTTGCGATGATACCAGAAAAGTTTGCTGGGTTTTGGGGCAATCACTTCGATTTGTGACCATGTATTACAACAACACGGTCACTCCCATAGTGATTACCAATTTATATAGCACGCTTAACCCGTGGTGGATGTAAAAGTCTGGATGATGAAACAAGTTCGTCGCTGTTGCTAGCAGCGACGATGATAGAGTCTGATTGAGTTAGGATTTAAGTAATCCGTGATGGACGTAAATGAGATGCAAACGAGAAGTAATCATTTGTTAATTGGCATTTATTTCAG